TTGGGGCACCCTGTTGGGGGTGGTGCACTGGAGATCGGCTCTTCTCTTTGACCTCTGGCAATGGGGCCAGCTCTGCCCACCGTGGCCACCTGGGAAGACATCTTGACTCAGGGCTCWAGTTAGTGGGGAACAAAGTGCCTTTGAGTCACATCAAACCAGGTGACCGAAGTCTGRATTCCCCCAAACAATAGTCAGGGAGGGATTTCACTGAGGAGCCGTCTGCCTGGATTAAGGGCTACGAAGTAGAATTCTTCTGACCAGCAAACCCCCCTGGGGCCTCTAGGATGTGGCTGGATTTATAAATATTTGATTGGAATCCACTTCGCTCCAAGAACATTTCCATTTGTGTGGTGAGTGGTGCCGGTAATCCCTCTTCCCATGCAGCCTCTTACGTGTTTGGGGAGGCCAGGGGCTGTGGGCTCCCGAGGCTGCAGACTGGGGATGCTCAGGAGAATATCATTATTCTGCAGTTATTATTCCTATTGAGGAGGAAGTCACAACCCTCCACCCCTGTTGGCCAAGTGGCTAGTTGGACCAGAGAAGTTCAACAGGGCAGAGCTTACAGGGACAGGGCCCTGGGCATGTTCAGCCTCTGTGCCAGGCCTCCAGAGCTCCCACCTAGGTAGTCCCAGAAAAGCTGGCATGAAAAGTCACCTTCGGTTTTGTGAGCAAGCATGGAATTCACTTAATGTGGCAGACCCGAAAGATGGAATGTTGAGATGGGGGTGGCCCAGATAGCCCAGGAGTGATGAGGAAGAGACCTGTCAGTCTCAGCACTGGTCGCCTGGCACTGTACAAACATGGTCACATTTCAAATCCCCTTTTGCCTATGCGTTAGATAGTATTGCCCTTTTTTGGTGGGTGGGGAAGTACTAGGGATTGAACTCAGTCAGGGGCACTCAACCACTGAGCCACATCCCCAGCCCTATTTTATATTTTATTTAGAGACAGGGTCTCACTKAGTTGCTCAGCATCTCACTTTTGCTGAGGCTGGCTTTGAACTGGAGATCCTCCCGCCTAGCCTCCTGAGCCGGTGGGATTACAGGCATGTGCCACCAGGCCTGGCTGCCTTTCTTATTTTTAAAATGAGGAAACTGAGGCACATAGAAGAGAAATAACTGCCCCAAAGTGACATAGAACTAGTAAATGGCAGTTTGGGGGCCTGTACTCCACCCACCTGATCCACATGACTCTGTGTGCTTATTTAGTAGTGAAACCACTGTGATGGGGTTGGTGTGCAGGGAATGGTGGAATGTGGAAAGAACCTTAGTACTGGAAGCAAAGTACTGGTTAGCCAAGCTGCCCCTGTTGGAAGCTGGTCACCCCCTGTCAGCTTCAGTGTTTTCAGAGTGACTATTATTAGGAAACTCATGGGGTTACAGTTAGGTAGAAATGAGTCTAGCACAATGCCTGGTGGAAATCAGTATTTGAGAGTAATTATTGGATCTATTGTTGAGCTCAAATTTATCTGCCACCAATACAATTCAGTTACTCATCAAATTGATGCATACCAAGGGACAGGCTATGGGCCAGACAAAAATTGCAAGGTTGAGCATTAAGAGACAAAGTCCTTGCTCTCAGGGAGTCCAGTGGGAAAGAAAACTGTCAAATGATCACACAAATGAGTGGAGAGGTATAGGTGCAAGGAGGGAACACCCCGGGACATACCCCTCAAATGTGCTATATCCAAAACTGAACTGACCATCTTACCCTGCCCCTTCGCCTCTTTCTGGATCCTCCTCCTCATGGTGACACATCTACCCTCCTCTCAGAGTTAAAACTCTGGCTCCAACGGGAATCTTCTCACAAACTGCTCTCCATGGGCCCCAGAAGCTGCAGCTCTCCCCACCTGGTTGTACCTGGCATGGATGGTGTGGCAGGGTAACTAGTGTCCACAGCATAGATTGCCCACCACCTACAGAGGTGATCTTCTCCACGTGCAGAAATTCCTACCAGTGGACACATTCTACTCAATTCTCTGTTAGGATGGGAGGGATGGGGACCCAAGTACCACAATAAGGTACTTGGGAATTTACTCYCCGCTATGGGTAGTAGGAAGACAAATTTTGACAACTACCTTTGCCCAAGGCAGATCAACTAGTTGAGAACAAGGATAAGATGTGAAAGAAATTATTTATGTAGATTTATTTAAATATCTGACTGTCTGTTAGGAATGCTCTTTCTGAAGGAAGGCTTGGAGTGTGACTGCCTACCCGTCACAACAGTCTATTCACACTCAGACTAATGGTCAAGGAATAGGAATCAATCCCCAGTCTATGCAGATCTCAGTTATCCAGGGATATCCACACCATGCCTGTCTAAGGCTGATCCTGTTTCGGAATAACCCTTGAGATGCAGAAGGACCATGGCAGTACCACCACTGGGCAGAAGAGGGCGACAGATCCACACTCGGAGTCCATTGGTGCCCAGGAGGACTCCTCTCAGTTCTAGGATCTTATTAATTTTCAGCCTTGTGAAAGACACAGAGCAATGCTACCATTTTCCATTCCACCAGTAAGAAACTGAGTCTCTGACAGTAAAATATTTTCCTCAAAATTAGAGAGCTGAGGACTCTAGAGTTTGGAAGAGGCATACAGCTAAGGTGACTTTAAGTTTATTTTGCAGAACACTTCATGCAAAACGGAGAGAATGTTTCTTGTCTAGTTTGGAAGTGGTAGAGCAGGAATACGGGTATTCCAACCCTAAATCTGGGCCCCTGACTCTACAGAGAGTATGTGGATTTTCCAGTTCTGTACTGATAGATCAGGGATGGATTTCTGCCCATACACCCTACTCACTCTGATTTTTGTCCCCTTGTTCTTAGTTCCAGAGAAAGAAAATAATAGGTCAACATAACTACTCTGAACATTGGCAGAGAGGCGCTGAATCAAAGCTTGAAACTAGACCCTTGCCCTTCCTGGTCAGTGGCATTATAGAAAAGAGGGCACTAGGAAAGTTCCTTAATATTGTACTGGATTTCCATATGCTGCATTGAATATGTAGAAATTTTGATGATGATAACAGCAGTATTAATCAATATTTGCTGCACTTTTACTCTGGGTGGGACATTATGCAAGAGCTTTCAATATATCATCTCATTTAACTTCCCCCAAGAAACCTGTTAGGCAGGTAACATTAGTATTCTTATTTTATAGTTGGGAAATATAAGACCAGAAAGATTAAGTGACTTGCCCAAGTTCACCTGGCCAATAATGCAGCATCACTTGGATGCAGACACCTGACACACTCCTGTGCCTGCTGTGCTGAGTCCCAAGGGTCCTGATGTCTTCAGTCAGGCAGCCAAATCCACAGCAGACCTCAGAAGCTGTCCTGATGTTATGTACCCAGAGTGCAGTCTATAATGTCAATGACAGAATGACAATAACGAAGACATATGATGTTTTTACAGCTTCTCATGACCCTGCAATTCAAGGTTTCCCAGAAGAGCTGGCTTTACCCCAAGGAGCATGTCACCAAGGCTGCCCTTCCTCTCCCATTCTGGATATCAGAGCCTCCCCCATTGATTCAGAAAACTGATAAGACTTACTAGAGACATTTAAAGCCAGGGTCAATTAAAGCTTGTTTTCCTCTTGTGTGGGCTGATCACATGAATAAATTGTATATCATGCCCAACACAATGGACTACAATCTTAGTCCATTTACTTGCAGGAAATGCTGCTTGTATTTAATGTACTATATATTTTTTTTTCCTTGTGAATTACTCTGGTACTTATTCTCCACTGAGAATAAAGCATGCAGGAAGTCCATTTGAAAAAATAAAAGTCACCAGAACAAAGCCCTGACCTTAGCCTTCCTGCTTCTCTTCTGCAGGTCTGGGTGGAGGGTGGGAAGGAAGGGACAATTCCAGCTGGTCCATAAATGCTGGCATCCATGCCAGTTACCTGTGCACCCAGGGGTAGACAGCGGGTAGCACTTAAGTGGTCCTTGCACGCCAGGCTGCAACCTTTGGAGCATGGCCTGCTTACTACCCGATATGTAAACCAGCACCTCCAAGGCAGCATTTTGCATTCCATTTTAAAGCCAGTCTCATGGAACCCGACTTCCTGCCTGTGCTCTGACATCTCTTTAATTCACCCACACTTCCCTTCTCTGGGTTTGCAGCGTGTTTGACTCTTGAGATTGCAGATCCCAAAGCAKGATCCAGATCTGACTTTTAGCTTCTCTATGACATCTAATGCTTCAGTGGTCCTCAGGGAATCTCCAGATACCACTGTAGGACCCAGAACCCTGAAGTCACACCTACACTCCAGCACCAGAAGTACGGAGGCAGAAGGAAGAGCTCTATGCTTAGTCAAGAAGATTCTTTTCCCTGAAGTGATACCTCCATCTATCAACATCCTCGGAGAGTCGGGCTGCCRGGAAACCTGAAAGAGGCAGTCAGCCTTTGGCTGGACGGCACTCCCTCTCCGGCTTCTATAGAATCTGGAGAATGACTTTACCCCTCCTGATTACCACAGCCACATCTGCATGATGTGCAGAGCGAGAGCTGCATAATTTATGATGTGTAAGGCTACAGTTATACACTAGGATTTCACAAATCAAGCCCAGCGGAAGCATAACCTGCAGAGTCCATTCACTTGAAACCGAGCCCAGGTCTTTGTGCAGGATTTACCGTCCCTGCCCATCTGGCTCTTCCCATCCTGGAGCAAGCCAGCCCCGGGCCAGCCTCAGGGGCCAGATCTTTCACTAGTTACAGAAACTCAGGAAACATCCAGCAATTGAACATTGGCAGCCAGTTGTGTTAGGTCAGCAGAGAATCCCTTTAAAAACTTGCAATAGTTCACCTTTAGATATGCAGTAGCCCCCAACTCCCCTTTTTCCAAACCCGGGCTCTTTGCACAGGTATGGTACCCCCACCTCTGAATGTGTCCTGCCAGTAGAGCCTTGGAGAAGAGGGTACCAGTGCTCAGTTCCCCCCTTTCCCATCCTTGACAGCAGAAGACCAGAAGCAAGAGGGTACAATATGGATGGCTACTTACTGTGTTGGTCACTCCTGTCTCTTGTCCCATCCACTGTGCCATCAGGAAGGATCCTCAAGAAGTGGCCTCCGTTGCTACAGTAGAGCAGTTTGGGCTTCTTGTAGTTCCCTGGAGGCAGATTGAACTTCTCGGTCAGGGCTGTGAAGGTTGTGATTTCCCCTTCAGCCATGGCTCAGTGGCAGCTGCTGGTGACACCTTCAGGACTGTAAGAAATTAAACAAATCTGTAGAATATTCTTCCAGTAAAGGCACGGCAGACACTCAAGAAGAGAAGGACTGCTTCAGAGTTCMGGGCGCCTGGTGAGCTTGTGACCACAGACTGGCCAGGTGATGGCCACAGAAGACGGGCCTGTGAGGTGGCCGCTGGCTAAGGCAGGGTGGTCCCTGGCCTGGGAGGGTGTTTCACAGCCCTTCTGTCTTTGCAACTGGACGTAGSTTGGGACCAAGCTGTGCATTTTTTAGAACTTGAAATTTAATCATTTAGCCAAGGGGAAAAAATCATGTTTTGGTCCCTCCTTCTGGTCCACACACATCCTCAAATTAAACACTGAAGTTGCACTAAAATAACACCTGGGTCTGGCCGAAACCCACAAGAGCCGAGAGGCCAGGCCTGAGGTTCTGCCCTCCACCCTCACACTGTTTAGACTAGGTGCCTCCTGGCTTATGGCAGCAGAGAGCACAGACGGCAGGGACATTCGGGGCCTGTGAGCGAAAGACGGCAGAGACAGCAAAGCGTTAAAATGGGAAGGAATCATTCTGGGCTGGTGAGGAGGACAGAACCAGGACCAGGGAAGGAGGCAGGGAGGGGGTCAAGTGTGGTTTTTAAAGGGAAAGCCTTGTACCAAAGAAAATTTTATGAGCTAGATCACTACAAAGGCTGTGCCTGGTTACTGCTTGTTCCATAGTTTTCATATATYCTCACAGCACACAGAGAAGTCGGGTCTGTCCCTGTCCCAGGCCATCTTCATCCTGATTATTTTGTAATATGAGACATAATACAAAAACTAATGGGCTGGAGATATAGTTCAGTTGGTAGAGTGCCTGCCTCAAATGCCCAAGGCCCTGGGTTCAATCCCCAGCAAAACACACACACACACACACACACACACACACACACACAAAACTTCCATATTGCACATTAAAATCTCCTAATGTTGTACATACCACTGCATACAAATTTACTTATTATTATAAATATGCATGGATTATTACCCCCACAGTATTAAAAAAAAAACAAAGCCAATTAATGTTATATTTAAAACATGAATTTCCCCCATGGAAGGGCTAGTGACTACACAGGCTGGAAAAGAAACAGGTCAAAGACATCAGGAGCTGCTGTAGGGGGTTTGCTTCTAAGTGGAGAAGGGCCAGCTATAAGGGTGAAGTGGTCTTATAATCATAGCAACCATCACCACCGACAACATATTCTGAGCCACAGGTTAACGCCTGTTAACATCACCATGATCCTCTGACATGGATGCTAATATCCTATCTTTTATAAAATGAAATCAAAGCTTAGAGAAGTTACCTGGCTTTCCCAAGGTCAACAGCTAGAAGAGATAGAGCTAAGACCCAAAATGAGTCTGAACACACAACCCTGATGTGTCCTTAATCACCGAGAACAGGTTAAATGTCTTCGCGGAGGCTGCAGTATTGGCAGAAGCAGGGTTTACCCATGCCTGCCAGGTACATTYGCCTCCTTAAATTTGTCATTAGGTTCTTTTCATTTTTGACCCAAAGGTTGTCTCTCTCCACCAACAGCCTCTGCTTTTGCCCCCTGATGACCTTGAATCAGGACTCAGGCAGTTCCTCATTCCCAGGAGGAGGCCAGATCACTGAGCACTGTAAGCCCAGGGAAGACCTGCTGGCCTCCCTCCATCCCAGCCTCCCAGAACCTTCAGCGGCTCCTGCAGCAGCCTCCTGGAGTTGCTCTTACAGAAAGCAATTCCATCATAGATCAAGGCACCACTCTGAATAATTTGTCCTTGTGACATTTAAATTGGGACTGATGTTGGAAACCTTCATTTGTTTTCTCTGCTAGTTTGGGTATATTTCTCCTAATGTGCAGCCACCATGGGTCATTCATTGAACCCTGTTTCAACTGCTATTTGAGGTCTCTCCAAAGACCCCCAAAGCAAATTTTGCACATACCATAAGAACTATATTTAAAGTCAGACCATCCCAAATGGCCCCTCACATATGGTGAAACTCTGTCCAATCCTCTTCACACAACATGGTGACAGGGAGAAAATTAATTCTATTTGTGTCTGTTTCACAGGGCAGCAGCAGAGTTGACCTTGCATAGCACATTCTAATCTTCTCCTAAATTTCCACTCTCCCTTCCAAATCCCTCCCTGTCATCTGAAGCCTCTTAGTCTCTCCGTGCCCATCTCAGGCTCCCTTACTATCTCTCTACCCAGTCTTTCAGTTTCAGTCTCTCTCTGCTCAATTTTAGAACCCCTTCTCTTCCCTCTCCCCCACCCCAAGGATGGAATCCAGGGCCTCACATATACTAAGCATGCTCTGCCACTGAGCCATGCCCCAGCCCTGGGGATCCCCTTCTGTCCCCTTCACCTATCACATTTCCATTACACAATGCCACCCCTTGTTAAAATACAACTTAGATAGATAGATTGATAGATAGATATTTTTTTTCATTTTTTGCCCCAAGCATTTCCTAAGTCATTTACTTAATTTGGTATACAGGAGATAACAATCATATTCTAGTGGTTGCCATTTAACTGTGAAAATAGTCAGGAGGGTAGTTTTTGTTTCTTGTAGTCTCTGGGTCTCCTCCAGTGGGGATTTCTGTCTGCTTTTTTCCCTGATGGTGGGACAACGGCATGTTAAGGATCCAGCCCCAGTGAACAGTCTCCATGAAGTAGTTTTCTAAGTGTTGTGCACGGATTTGACTCCATTTGCCTTCTTGCCTCCACTCCATGGGGCGGGGGGCGGGGGGGGCGGGGGGAAGAGGATGCAGCAGCAGGCTGGCTGGTGTTAGAGGACCGGCTCTAGCCAAAGATGACACTAAGGCTCACATTCACCTGTGTGGATAGGCCAGGCTTATCAGTGCAGAGATCTCACCAGCTAAACGACTTTGGCCAAAGCCCAGCAGGTCCTCAGGGTTCCCTTCCTCCTGACCATCGTGTAACATGCAGTTAAACAAGGCCACCCTCTGCTTTCTGCCTGTTCCCCACTATAAGATACACAGCCATGGGGTGACTGTATTTTTCAGATGGCTCCTATAATCCTGGAAAACAGAACATAGTCCTGGAGCCTACACCGAACTGATAGGCCAGGGCAAGAGGATTTAGCCATCAGCCAAAAACCCCAGGGGGCATGAAAAGCTCTTATTTTTAACTTTATTTACAATTCACCTATCCTTTGAGCTGTGGTTGGTCTGAAGTTCTCTGCCAATCCACTATTTGTTTAGGATAGGAATAAAGGAAGTATATGACATGATAAAACCAGAAGGCAGCAACCTTAGCAGGCCCTTGGGGATTTACACAAATTGCTCTAATAAATGAATCCATTAACTAAGTGAAATCAGGCATTAAGCATAATGGGAATTTATGAGCTCTGCTTCTCATTACTATTTTCTTTTTATTGGCTGTCAGGGGAGGGGATTATCTGTGTTTGTGCTGGAAGATAGAGAAGATCAAGCCCAATGAACTCTATGTCATCATTATGCACTAAGTCCAGCCCTTGGAGATTTGGGACAGTGGTGAGATTTTAGGAAAGCCAGGTGATTTTTCTTGATTTATCAGTGATACCAAAGTGAGAGGAGCATGGAGTCTACTAGAACATCTGTGTGAGGCTGACACACTTGGTCAGCTGTGGCCTCTGGAAGAGACCCTGAACTTGGACACTCAAACAGGACACGAGGTGGACACTCCTACCCAGGAATACAGCAGTCACATAACAGTGTGGGATGGTAAGCAACCATTGCACCACCCTACCCGCACCCAAAGTGGCTGGGAAGAGGAGTGGCTCCCTCCTTCTAAGGTGTTTCCTCTAATAACCCTCACTTCCCTAATGCACGGAGGGGTCAGGTTAAATAGGAACAATATTCACAAAAGCCCTTTGGGAAAGTTTAAAATTGTAATCTGACCTATAGGAGACAACAGTAACTGGTTATATTGAACTAGTTGAAGCCTGGTGTGGTCTAGGTCATTTGTGATCAAATGCTTCATTTAAGATAATTTTTCAATGGGCTTGAAAATAGAGGATTTTTCTGTTTTTCTTTTTGCAGTGCTAGACACCTGCCGTCCCACTGAGCTACATCCCCCATCCTGAAAGTTATTTTTCATTCCCTCCCCAATTTAAGCTAAGTCCCTCTTCCCATTATTTAGGCCACAAACTGCAGAGAGGAGCAGGAGACAAAGGTAAACTATGATTGTATAAGAGGGGATTCAGTTCCTCTTTCAGACTGGTTCTCAGCTTATCAGCRGCTATTGCAATGACATTTATTAAACTTGATATTTCTAGGAGACAAATTTGTACTCAGCTTGGCTCTGGTGACAAAACTAGAAGGAAAGTCTTATGGTTCTAGAAATCAAGGAAAGGCAAACATTGACATTTATTTATTTATCCCCTTTACTACCTATGCAATACAGAATACCCTTAAAGCAGGGCATTTTGAAAAGTATATAAAGCCTCCAAAAGTAGATGTGTGTGTGACAATTAAGATGATCATGTCCTTAAACCCAGCATATAAAAAAACAGGATTAGCTTTGGTTCCAAATTGATCCTAAGTTCTTATTTCTTCCTTTTCTCTGTGGATAGCATCACCCAAAGCCTTAACTATTCCTTAGAGATACTAATTAACTTCAGATTTTGTTAAGTCAAATATGCATATTAAATGTTAAGGGCAAAAGAAGCCAGGCATGGTGGCACACACTTATAATCCCAGTGGTTTGGGAGGCTGAAGCAGGAGGATTGTGAGTTCAAAGCCAGCCTCAGCAACTTAGCGAAGCCCTGTGCAACTCAGTGAGACCATGTCTCTAAATAAAATACAAAAAAGGGCTGGTGAAGTGGCTCAGTGGTTAAGTGCCCCTGAGTTCAATCCCCAGTATCAATAAAACAAAAACAAAATGTTAAGGGTAAAAAGAAAACAAATGGAATGCGTTAATTCCAACCAGTACTTGTAGGAAATAAATAAAACTTCATGGAAGTGTCAAGAAAAAAGAGAAAGAGAAGATAAA